TTATAAATAAACGCAATTAACTAATATTATTTAAAACAATATTGATTCCAATTTTATAATGATCAGGCTAGTTCTGCTGCTTGGGGTGTTATGGCAGCTCTGTGTGGAGAACAAAGGATTTGGCGTGAATTAACAAATTATCATTTCACGTCGCAGCAAATAGATTTTATGGCAGAAAAAAAGAAAATTGTACAAGACAAAAATACTGATTGGCAGAGACTCTACCATGCATTGAGGAGGTTAGTTTCAATATAGTTTATATTATATCATTATATATATATATATATATATATATATATATATATTTAATTCTTCTATGCGTCAAAAATTACCGAAGAAGTCTAGAAGTGAATTTAGTGTCTGTGAAAGTCAAACGTATAACATGTCTCGATGAGAAGAGTTTTTTTTTTAAAACCTTTTAATTTATTTTATTTTAATTTAATAGTTTTTAAAATTCGTGCTTTGAAAATTGTATAGTAAGTGGTCCATTTTATTTTCCATGTTTTTTGTTTTTTCTTCAAATTATTTGTATGCATTGAAGATGGGTCACATCAGGACAATACAGGAAACATTTGACAATAAAACATTATACCTTAATAAAATAGTTTTAATTAATAGATGGAAGCCCAAGAACAACTTTATTATTATTATATATATATATATATATATATATATATATATTATATATATATGATGATAGTTTTGTCGACGTTGATACATATTTGTAATATTTTTGCAGCCCAACCGTCGAATTAAAAAAAAGATTAAATAACAAAATTATTTATTCCATTAAACGTTTCGACACTTGATGTGTGTCATCATTCAGTAATCTAAAAAAAAACATATAACCTAAATACACAGTTGATGATAAATATAAATATATAAAAGGAGGAAATTATACATACCAAACCAGGGAAAACAACAGAAATATATAGGATATATCCCTTAATACCCCACTTATATCCCTTAATACTTCTTGTGTAAACAAACGTAATTCCTCTCATCTCTTACATGACAGTTACAAAGTAATCATTAATTTCATGAAAAGTAATTCAATACAGTTTTAGAATCTTTTGTTCGTTATATTTCTTCTCTGTTTCTCTTTCCCCTTTCGTTTCTCGCAACTCTCTCCTACTCTTCTACTGCGTTGTACTTTTAACCTTGAACAATGCCCACAATGCAATGCTATCAATAACATCAAATATAGGAGGGCAATATGTGCTCCTCCTATTTCTCGATCAATTATACATCATAATTAATGTTTTCTGTTGTTTTTCTTGGTTTGGTATGTACAATTTCCTCCTTTTATATATTTATATTTATCATCAACTGTGTATTTATGTCATATGTTTATTTTTAGATTACTGAATGATGACACACATCAAGTGTCGAAACGTTGGAATAAATAATTTTGTTATTTAATCTTTTTTTTTAATTCGACGGTTGGGCTGAAAAAATATTACAGATATATATATATATATATATATATATATATATATATATATCTTGATAGTTTTTTCGACGTTGAAACATATTTCAAAGTAACTAGCAGCCCATTCGTCGAAATAAAAAAGGTTTTCACCTTTTTTATTTCGACGAATGGGCTGCTAGTTACTTTGAAATATATATATATATATATATATATATATATATATATTTCGCTCTATGCAGAACGTTCGGCCTTCGCGAGGATATGCAATATGCGGAAACGCTATCGTTGTGCCGGCATTGCCGCTGCCTTTTCTGGCCGTCCGCGGGTCATCCCTGCATAGCGGACCAGAGCCCCGAGTTCCGCGCCCGCTTAGAAGAAGCTGGAGGCCCGCTCACGCCTCACCCTGTTCCGCCAGCTGCGTTCCTTAAATTTTTCTCGTTGTGAAACAATACTCGTTAGATGTTTTCACTTATCAAGGACTGTAATTCTATAACTGACTACTCGAGGTCACATGAAAAAAATTGAATGGGTGGAGATATAAACAAAAATAACATTTGATCTTTTAAGGGTATATACTTGTATGGGCTTCAAATGAACCTATTTTACTAAATCGCGGCTGTTTTATAATTTACTTCAAGATTCAGCTCAACAGCATTGATGTTTTTAGAAGAAATAAAATTACTGCGCTGCTATATTTGAATAGATATCAGATATCAAGATCAAGCAATATTGCTTAGTCTAATCAAATCATTGGTAAAAGACTCGTTTTAGATTGAAAACTGAAGCCGTTAATGTAAGACTTATGTTTGTATTGAAATTGTTATCGATAATTTAGAAAGTAATATGCAATAAAAAAATACTCAATTTTATATTATGTGTTAATGATGTGCAAATTAATTGAAATGATTACATTAAGAAATTTAAGTACGAAAACTCAATTAATTTCTACATTTTTATTATCGCACATAATTATAATATATATTTTATAAATTTTTACCAAAATTTGAGTCCGAACAAAGGTTGTGTTATTCGGTATCATAAAGTCCCATTTTTGCCAAATATTATAACTCGATATCATATGATCATTGAGTTACAAGTTTAAACTGCCTGATTCACAAAATGATCAGAATCATCACGATTAGAAAAGCATATAGAACTTGATCCAATCAAATAAACATATTTGAGGAATTTAAATTTGATTTTAAACTTATTTTAATTTTGAAGTTTATAGTATTTTTGCTTAAATTTTATATTTGTGATTGAACAAATTTTACGAGATTGTTAATTACATTTTTGGCAACTAATAGATTTTTATTATAATCTAATAATAGAATATTATAATTATATTATCCTCAAGTTTATTTCTAATTCTCGACAACACGATCTAGAAAAATGCTGAAAATATATATTTATTTTTTTAATAAAGTGTTTTATATCGGCGACTATAGAAATATAAATAACTACATCAGATGATATATAAAAATATGAATAAATAGTTATTATAGAGTGGCGCTATATATTTATAGTGGATAGTTAGTATAGCTATATTTATAAGCTAGTTGTTGTACATTAGAAAAGCTTGTGTAATGTGTCAATGTACTAATATTTCATTCGAAATTGTTAATTGTTATATAAGAAAATTGTACTACATTTCACAACGTTTTTATTTCTTAGCACCAAAATAGAATATCTTGGCTTAGAGAAAGGTGGAATTTTCCATTTTGTTTTTAATTTAAAAATCTAATCTCACAAGCATTTCTAAACTGTTAATTCGTTGAGAAATGTTTTGCTGTGCGAAGACCCTACCCTTTTCAAATTATTTTAAAGTGGTGTGATTTAACATGCCCATAACATTTTAATATTATTTGCTTTATATTATCTCACACTGAGGAACTTCTAATGAAAGTAGCTAACTTCTTTATGAACAGAACATTGATTGCAGAGTTTTTTTGGCTAATTTATTATTGACAAATATTATTGATAGCATTTTGCATATTATAATTCTATTTTAATTTTGAAGTTAAAGTGAGGTTTGAGTCGCTTTCCAATACTATTTAAATTATTATTGTGATACATCGCTGCCGTACCGCAAGTGGCCGATTTTTATATAGTTAATATCGCAAAAGTGATGCTTAATTCATGTGATCAGCATCTCGCTTTCTTCATAACTATTTTAAGAAGTAAACAATTAAAAAAACGATATTTTTAAGTTTACATACTTACATGCCAACTGTGAGTGAAAATGCGACTTTTACATCGTTCATGTTTATTTATATATTACTAATTGTAGGATTGAGCATAGGTACATGGACATATAACTTTAAGTGGAATATTATTATTTAGTTATATCAGCGCATTAAAACTAAAACGAAAGTCTAACAATAATAGTTAGAAGTATATATGTAAAAAAAATTTATTCGGTATCGAAAAAATACAGTTTTTTCCGTTCCGTTAGTATATAGTTTATGAAAAGTTATATACATTTCTGTGCATATATTCTCCATTCAGTTCCTTCAAATTATTCAAAAATAAACTGTGATTTCATATGGTACTTTTAAATACATAGTTATTAAGTTATGATTAAGAAAAACTTCAATCTCATGCGTACCAAATAGGAGTAAATATTATAAAAAAAGTCATAATGTATTTTTTGACAATTTGTATTATCGTACAATACTAGTTTTCATTGAATAAGCCTTCGACTTTATGAAAACAATTTAAGTGTGCAGCATGTTGTGTTATTATTATAAATATCAAATTAAATAGATTTAAGTAAAATGCAGCATAAATTAAATTTTCTATTAATATATCAAAAGTAATTCTCATTACTTTGATCTTATTACATTGATTTTTTTTATTTAATTAGTGGTGAAGGACTTTAACTAGAAATATTATTTATATTGCTTCTATATTATTGATGTGACTATATATTTTAAAAACTAATGAATCATGTTATATTATATTTTTGATTACGACATAGTATTATAAATTTCTGAATAAAATCTGATTTAAATAATTGTCCTATTTGAATGTTTCATTTTTCTATTTTGAATTGAGAGTGATAGGAAAGTTCATTTTTTTAAATTAATAACTGTCTTATATTAAAGTATACTTAAAAATCTAATTTATGTTTATACTAGGCAAATAAAACTAATCGTAAGTATGTTAGTGGATATTCGAAATCACTAAATTACTTCATCAAGTTTGCCTAGTTTCAGTATCTGTTCATCAATGATTTAAAAATGACTAAAAACAATATATTTTATTGCGGAAATAGTTGTACTTATTTTTCTAGTTAATTTTATTTATGGTTCGTATAATTTAATTATTATAGAAAAGAATTTTTAGTGATAAATATATAAAATATGAAAAATTTAACTTTTTTTTAAAAGCATTTCACCCAAAAAATATTCTATTGTTCAAAAATATATCTTTATTACAAGATAATTAAATATTGGATCATCATTGTATCATATATGATTTTTTTTTTTAAAAGCATTTCACCCAAAAAATATTCTATTGTTCAAAAATATATCTTTATTACAAGATAATTAAATATTGGATCATCATTGTGTCATATATATGCAATAAAATAACAAATACCTATTATCATGAAACGGTATAACTATATTTCATTTTCTCCTATGTTGCAAATTTTTATATGCCTCTATTGCTGCATTTCGCTCTTCTTCAAGCATTTTTTGCACAGGCGCTGAAAGTTTTTTACGTTTCACGGTATTGGAAGATTTAAACTTTATATCCGCTTGTGTTGAATTTTTGTTAGCATTAATCTGAAAATTATATTTTATAATCATGTTTTTAAATTTATGATAAACTTGCATGTGAGCATATTTACCTTGTTTATATTTTTTGGGAACTTTGTCAAAGTTGGTGGAGCATCAGCAACTTCTCCAAATTTCACTTCATCCTTAAAACTATTGAAATCAAGAAAATCTTTATCCTATAAAAAATATAAATACAGACACTAGTTTTCGAATGATAACAAATAAATTACAAAATCTATTGTAAATAAAAAAGTAACCTGTTGTTTTTTCAATTTCTTTGCTTTCAGCTTTTCTCTCCTTTTTTGTGATTTTGTTAGTTTTGGTATATTATCCTTTTCATTTGCTTTTTTACCTTTTTTTACTTTTTTTGACTTCTTTAATAATTCATCTATTTCATCTTTAGGTTTTTTCTCCAATCCTAATACCTGCAGTATTGACATATAAATGTTTATAAATATAGAATAATATATCAAATAAAATTAGAATTATTACCTCTCCACTTTTATCTCTTATAATATCAACTTTATATTTCTGTTCAAATTTATGTGCGTTTAGATATTCATGAACCATTGAATTTACACGGCTTAGAAACCTTTTATTGCTTTCACCCAATTTTCTTTTAAATTCTGGTACTACTTTCTCAGGCTTGCCCAGAGGCTTTTTAATAATAGACTTAGTTTCTTTTTCTATAAAAGAAAAAATAAAGCATTGGAGATATATTAAACCAAGCCCTGAATACATTTTGAAAATAAATATTTATGATAAAACCTTTTTTGATGTTGAGTTTCTTATTTTTGAGATTACTAGCTTTGAATTTCTCTTTCAATTCGATTATGCGAGCTAGACTTTTAGGAATAGCTTGGTCATCAGGATCCTGAGGAGGCGCATTCACTTTATTTTCAAGACTAGAAACAAAGTAATAAAAATCAAAATTTTCATATATATATATAAAATATATATTATATATATATATATATATATATATATATATATATAAATTAATGAGATTAATATAGTAAATAAAATTATGTATTATATCATGCCTTTTCTCCTTCTTTGCATTTTGTTCTAAAATATCTCTAACTCCTCTGTGCTTTCTTCCTGGTATCTTACGACCCATGATTAATAAATCAAAAATATTATTGATAAAGAATATAAGAAAATGAGTTTTACTTCAAAATTATTTAAGTAAAAATAAACTTTAATTTGAATTAGGTGTATTTTAAGGTTATAAACAAGGATATACAAACGCACGAGGTGAGGTGAGTATGGAAATGTCAAAGTGACAGAACAGTTTCTGTTTCACTTATTCGCCGCTTGAAGCGCTGCGAACATATGGAGAGACATTTTTTTGCCTTGTTAGCTCACTATTTACATTTTGGAAGAATTGTCAAAAAATCGAACCTCTAAATGTTAATTGCAAGCATATTGTTTTAATTTCATAAATATTTGTTTGGATAGAAAATGGTGTTCTAATTCCTTACGTATGATTACTAATGCTTTTCAGATAACTTACAAGTATCATTGACATTTTGACCTTTATTAAAATATTGTTCAAAAATTGGTAAGTTATGCTACATATTAATGCTTTTATTTTATTTAGTTACATAAATTTAGCAATAAATTGTCAAGCAAAATTGTTCGAATAGTATATAATTAATAAATCATAATCTTTTTTATTATCGAATTTTTTTTTACGCGTTTTATTTATGTATGTGCAGTCAGTACAAATTCAAGATATTTTACGACATTTTGAACATATTTATTAAAAACAAATTTCAGATGGAATAATGAGTAGTCAGCACCAATACTTAAATGCTGATTTCGAACAAAATAAATTTGGCGAAATAGATCATGTTGGTAAGCATTATTTGTTTTTTTATTTATTAAGCGAAAAATTACGCTTTGTCACAATTTGTTTTTAACTGTTATATTTCATGTATAACTTTTAATATTGACAGTCTTTTTTAATAATTAATTTGATAAGTTTATGGAAATACAGGAATACCCCGTTTAACGCGGAATTACGTTCCATCAAAGTAGAGCGCAATGCGAAACAGCGCTAAACGAGACTATCTATACATGAAAACATTAGGATTAGGAAAAGACGCCTAGGAAATTGATTCGGTATTATATTTAAAAAGTATGTTTTTTTACTAAAAATAAAATTAAACTTTTTTTTCTTAAAGTCATAATTAATACCACATTATTATTTCTTGCAAAAATAAAATCGAAATTTAAATAACAACACGAATATTCTTGAAAAAACTAAATTCTATGTTAGTCATATTTAGTTAGTCTTCTGCGTTTCTGTTCTGCCTTTTTGTGACAAAAGCATCTATTGTCATTTGCCTTTTTTGCGTTGTTCTGTTAAAAGTTCTTCATAAACGGATAAAGCACCTATAACACCACACCTTTCTTTGGAGCTCTTGTCAAAATTTGGTTCAACTTTAATGAATTGATTCATTATTTCAGTTATGATAGACAAACTCCTTTTTACAAACGCCATCGAAAGTTCTTTTGCTCTTTCCCTGAATCGTTGCCGTCAATATTTTTTTTCTTCTTGTTCAGTTCATTCCTTGAGCTCATCATTAGAAAGACTGCGCTGCTTCTTGAATTATTTCTTTGACATCTTCCTAATTTATCCCTTGAAAACCTGGGTTGAAATAAAAGAGTGCTAAACCATACAGCATTAAACGGGGTATTACTGAACACTGAAAATATAAAATTTCAATATAAGCTTATTTTGATCTGGACATTTTATTCATATTAAATTAAGTGGATAACAAAGGCTGGATAATTTTTCTGATGCGTTTTGGATTATTTCAGAACTTCTTGGCCAAAATCTTAGCAACCTATGTTGTTCAGATAATTATTCCGATGTAATTTTAGTTGTAGAAGGTGAAAAAATACCATCTCACAAGGTGCGATTTATATTATTAATTTCTTTTTATTGCTCCATTATATTAAATATTAAAACTGTCTTTAAAGGTCATTTTAGCAAGCCGCAGTGAGTTTTTTAGGGCACTTCTGTTTGGTGGTTTAAAGGAATCTAGTCAGGTAATGAAAAATTATTTATAGGAGAAACCTCTTTTTCTTCATGTATTTTTTTTTTATAGGAAGAAATTGTTCTCAAAGAAGTTCCAATAAAAGCTTTTCGGGAATTGCTTAAATATATTTACACAGGTATGGTTTTTTACTACTTTTTATGTTAGATTCTATTTATTTAAATATTATTTTGCTGTTTAAGGTCACTTATTTCTTCAAACATTAAATCATGGAACCATATTAGATATTCTGGGACTAGCACATGAGTTTGGTTTTATTGAACTTGAAATATCAATATCAGATTATCTTCAGAAAATTCTTAACATTAGAAATGTTTGTTTTGTTCTAGATGCTTCTAGGTCAGTTATTACTTTAAAGTAATCAATCCATAAGTTTAAGTTTCATAGGAATATGATTATTATTATTAATTCAATTATTTCAGATTATATGGCTTATCTCGTTTGACTGAAATTTGCCAAACATTTATGGATAGACATGCCAAATATATTTTGGAAGATGATTCAATTATGCAGTTATCTTCAGTTAGTTTTTTTGTTGTTGAATGTTGACTTTTTCATAAAATATATGATTTTTTTTTTATTCTAGGAATCATTACATGAAGTTTTGTTAAGAAATTCCTTTTATGCTCCTGAAATTGATATATTTCGTATGGTTATGAGGTGGTGTGCTAATAATCCGGAAAAGAATGCTGAGGTATCTTGTGTTAACTACAAATAAAAATGTCAAATATATTTTAATCAATAAAAATGGTTTATTGTAATCAGCTTTACCATTTAGCTATATAGCAATGCATTTACAATAACTTTATTTTTAATTATAGGAACTTATCAGTTGTGTAAGATTATCACTAATAAAACTTAAGGATTTATTAACTCTCGTACGGCCAATAGGAATTGTGAAACCAGAAAAGTTACTAGACGCCATTGAAGAAAAAGTAAATGTTCCTGATGTTTCTTTACCCCACAGGGGAATGTTAGGTATGGACAAGTCTGGATTATAATTCAAATAAATAAGATCAACAACATTGTATTGTGTGACTTAGTATATTTATTATTACTTTTATGAATTCTAGTTTTAGATGAAAATGTTTCCACTACAACTTTGCATGCAAAAGTTCTGCAAGGAGAGATGAGGTCTGCCTTGTTAGATGGTGATACTCGAACCTATGACATGGAAATGGGTATTGAGTTTAATCTATTTTTATATTTTTGTTATTATGTTTTGTAGTTAATTTAGTTATTTATTGAGCTAAATGAATTCAATAATTCACTTTATTTGTAATGTTTATTTTTGAGATGCAGGTTATACTAGACATGCTATAACTGATGCAGAGGATCAGTTCATAGTTGTAAAAACTTGGTTGTAGATATATAGTAAACCACATTAAAATGCTCCTTTGGGATAGAGACACTCGGTAATTAATGATTTACTAGTAAACATATTTATTAGCCCCCTAAAATGGTTTACTCTTATAGAGCTTATTCATACTATATTGAAGTATCACTAGATCAAGAATCTTGGGAGAAAGTTATTGATTATAGGCGCTATTTGTGCAGATCTTGGCAATATTTGTATTTTCCATCCAGGGCAGTTCAATATATCAAAATTGTTGGAACAAATAATACAGTTAATAAGGTATTTTGCAATTATTTATTTTATATATATTG